TTACTTTAAGCTAGCCTTTTGTGACTTTTAGCTTTTATGTATCAATTTGAAACTTTGGCTTTAAGTTAGTTTTTGGATACTTTTAGTCACCCTTTGCTACTTTCAGCTAGCAGGAATCTACTTAAACCTTTAGGTAGCACTTTTCTGTTTTTAACATTTAGCTTGTGTTTTGCTCCTGTTAACTTTTAGTAAATGCTCTGCTTATATTAGGTTTAACAGCTCAGTTTCAGCTTGTGCAGTGGATTTCAGATTGCATTTTTCAGCAAATGCAATTTCTTTTATTGATTTTTTCATCATTTTGTTGGTTTCTTCCTGTTGCAGAACTTGTCTCTTGCTTCCAAAAGTATTCAAGTCACTATCAAAAATATTGACTGAATGGCTTTTTTTTTTTCAATTTTTCATACTGATCACTTCGTGTTCATCAGCTTTGCTGTTGATTTGAATGAGTTCACGTACAAAAAAGCTAAAATGTGTAACTTGTTGAAGTTTGTGGCACTTACGTCTATAAACCAGTCCTTTTAACTTGCTCAGATCTGATGAATCATCAAATTCAGGTTACATCTCGTGTCCTGTATCGTTTCAAGAGACACAGATTTAAGGACATACCATGAACCCTAATTAATATTTATCTTAGTTTCATCTTCAAACACATCTAGAAAAATTATTTTCCTAACTCTTTAAATTTTCACCTACAAATTGCATGTCTAAAGACTAAAAACATTGCCAGGTCTCTTGTAAATGAGTCCTCGTGGCTCAATGGGACTAACCTGTTTAAATAAAGGTTGAATGAATGAATAAAATACATTTCAAGTCATGATAAAAATAACTTTGTGTCCGTGTCTTATTTTGAATATATTGTTTGTTCACACATTTTCTTTTGTTCAGTTGTTTTGATCGATCACTGAAAAACACATTTAATTTACCATAAAAAGTGAAAATGCGCCTCATTTTGTGAGCTGATGTTTACACTCGAGTGTTTTTGCCCTCGGAAATGACTCAATGTTTCCATTATCTTTGCACCCCGGTGGGTTCTAATGAGGCCAATGCTGGTCAAGAGGGTCAGAAAGCTGCAGGAGAAAGTGCAGGAGAGTGGGTTTTGTTTAGTCTGTGAGAGAGGGGTCAAAGGTGCCACATTACTCAAGTCCTGAGAGGTGACTCTGAGGCTCTGTCATTGTATAAAGAGAGTAAAAATAGAAAAACTAATCTAGGGCTCCAGAGGGATCCGTATAGCTGTATTGTCCAAGGCTGAAGCCAAAGAATTATCTGCTATTAGGCATGAAAAGACAGCCCACAGTATAAATGTCTGCTGCGTTTAAATACTGCTATCTGCAGGGCTGCACTGTTTGTATTTTATTGAAAAATGTTCCTCAACAAAGAATTTAGAATTCACATAAAAGTGAAGGAAATAGAAATACAGTAGAACGAAATGTCCTAGGTTCTTGTTTGTTTGATGTTGAAATTTAGCAATTACAAAAGGAAAAGTTGTTTTGATCTAAACAGATAAGAATCTGTGAGAACGAAATTAATTTTATTTGGTAGCTTCTCGGATTGAGGGAGTCCTTTGGATGAAGGACAAAACATCTCAGCAAAATGAAAAAATTAATCAAAAGAAACCGTCCAGATGACCTCACTGAACTTTGTTGAATCTTTTATTTGGATTTTAAAACCAAATATAAATAAATACATTGAAGGGGTGTTGTTTAGAAATTCCACAAAAAAACACTTCTTTCGGCTTTTCCCTCTTCAGGGATCGTCACAGCGAATCATCCTCCTCCATCTCACTCTGTCCTCTGCATCCTCTGTCCTCACTCCAACTACCTCCATGTAACTGCATCCATATCTCCTCACTGTCTTTTTCCTGGCAGCTGCATTTCTAACATCCTTCTACCAATATACCCACTGTCCCTCCTCTGGACATGTCATAGCATCTCATTCGGGCCTCTCTAACTTTATGTCCCAGTTGTTCAACCTGTGCTGTACCTCTGATGATCTCATTCCTAATCCTATCCAGTCACTCCTAAGGAGAACCTCAACGTCTTCATTTCTGCCACTTCCAGTTCTTTCTCCTGTCTTTTTGTCAAAGTCACTGTATCCAGACCATACAACATAGCTGGTGGGGATGCTGTCTGCTCTGTGATACAGAGTCCTGATGACTCCTAACTTGTGCTCCAATGGGTGATGGGAGTCAAACTGCAAATACTGGTCTGTGTGGGTGGGTTTGCGGTACACCTCGGTTTGCAAATGTTCTCTATCAGAGACTGAGACCTCACAGTCCAACAAAGCCAACCTGCCCTTTGGAGCACAAGTTAGGAGTCATCAGGACTCTGTACCACAGAGCAGACAGCATCCCCACTAACTCAGGAGCCAGGCAGAAGGAGAAATCCTACACAAGACAGGCTCTAGAGCAATGTGGATATCCTAAGTGGACCTTCCTGAAAGCAGAGAAGAAACCCAAACAGGACTCCAGTCAGCCATCAGGTGAAAAGGAGGAACCCAGACCCAGATCAGTGGTCATTCCGTATGTTGAGGGGGTATCAGAGAAACTGAGACGTTTATTTTCTAAACATAACGTCCCAGTGGCTTTTAAACCCCAAAATACATTACGGCAAAGATTGGTTCATACCAAAGACCCAGTCCCCCAACACAAACAGAGTAATGTTGTGTATGCTGTTCAGTGTCAGGAGGGCTGTGATCAGTCTTACAT